TGGGGCGTCTTGGAGGCCTCTTGGGCTGTCTTGGGGGCCTTTTGGGCCGTCTTGGGGTCATCTTCGGCGTCTTCGAGCGCTCTTTGGGCGTCTCGGGGGCCTCTTGGGCAGTCTTGGGGGCCTCTTGGGGCACTCTGAGCGCGCTCTGGGGAGCCTGAGAGGCCGCACCCAGAAGGAAAACCATCTCTGAGTAGACTTGGTCGGGCGGCGGTCGGGCGGCGGTCGGGCGTTGGTCGGGGTACTTTTCGCCGGGGGACCCCCAGGGGCCGCCCCGCGCGCGCGAACTAGAAATACTGTTAATACTGTTAACCAGTTACCGGAGATCTTAGCACGCCCTGGCCCGTTGGGCCGGCGAATTTTCCCTTGCTCGCCCTTGCCACTGCGAACCAAAATGATCGCCCGCCTGCCGTCGAACCTGCACATTAATAACAATCCCATGTGGCTGCGGAATTATACTCTTCAGACTTACGCCACATCTGCTCACCCCTCGAATTAGGTCGTTCGTGGGCCTGGCTTGTGCGCAGAGGCTGTCACTTGGTGGTGTTTTTGGAGAGGCCATGTGTCTCAGTTCTGGATGTTTCGTGGGACTGCGGGAACGTCATGGACAAACCCTATGGGCTTTCTGCGGGTCAACTCCATGGTCTCTCTCTCTTCGGCAGTTGCTTGGGTCTTTCCCGGGTTCCTGGTTGAGTGTTTTGCAGTCGCCATGTGGCAGTGATGAACATCGTCGCAAGTCCAATGGCGTGTTGGTGCCATCTTACAGTGGAGACCCATGCCAAGAATACCCTGAGTGCCTCCAGGGTGCCCTGGGTTTCTTGGGTTTCGATGGTTTTGCTATCGAAAGCGCGACGCTCCCACACCAAAAGTCGATGGACGTCCTGTGGTCTCAGGGTTGGGTTTCTTGTGGAAGGTTTCTTGTGGACTGGCTTCCACTGTACTTGAAGGCGGCGATGTTGGCTGGTTGGTGGCCTTTGGGGAGGTCTTTGGGGGGCCATATATTGGAGCGTCTACGGGGCCTCTGGGGGAGGCTGGACCGTCTGCGGCGGCTGGTGGACCGCATTGGGCCATCTTGGGCTGGGTTGGCCCGTGCTGGGCCGCATAGAGCCATGTTGGGTGGTCTGGAGGCTGTCTCGGCGTTCTCTGGGGCTGCCTCGGGCACCTTTTGAGGCCATCCCAGGTGCGGTGGAGCCCACTGGAAGCCTCTTGGCCCGCCTCGGGTCGCTGGTCACGGCCTCAGACCCCAGCTTCCCCCTAGGTATGGCACAATTTTGGCTAGTATGGGCCCTCGTGGAGGGTCTCTTGGAGGGATCTTGCTGCCTTCGTGGGCTGTCTTGAAGCCATCTCAGGGCGATTGGGTGCCATTTGGAGTCGTAGAGGGACCCGGTGAGCAATTTCGAAGCCGTCGGGAACCGCCTATGAGTATGTCCGAGGCTGTCGGGACCGCAGAGTCCGCCGACCCCTGTCACAAGGACCCCCTCCAAAACCGGCCGGACGGAGCCCTTCGGGGAGGGGGAGGGGCAGCAGTCTCACACGCCGCAGACCCCAAGGGGTCGTCTGGATTTTCAGATGTATGTTTTAGTGAGCGCGAAGATATGTTACAGGAAAAGAAGCAGGTCTACGAGTGGGAGTGCGCATTGGAGTATGATGTGGGGGCCTGGGATGGCGACTTTGACTCTGCATGTGGAATACGTCTCGGTAGGAGGCGGCCAAATACTAACAGTAGAAGTAGGGGCTGCAGGTTAGAGCGCGGGACAAGTTAACATCATTAACCTGGTAATCTGGGGGAGATGGGGCGGGAGGCGGGAGCTGGGGTATGCTTAACACGGGGAGAAGGAGCAGGCGGGGCCCGATCGGCATCACGAGGAAGGGCGATGAGCGGCAGGAGTTGCATTGGGCCCGCTGAGATCGTCAGCCTTGCCGCCACCGCCAGGTCCGTCTCAATCGCTTGGCCCTGCTTTCCATCCGCATAATTTCCCACCTCCGAACCAAAGCCATCGCCTTGAGCGGAGGAGGAGGAGGAGGCGGAGGAGGAGGAGGAGGAGGCGGAGGGGGAGGAGGAGGAGGAGGGGAGGAGGAGGAGGAGGCGGAGGAGGAGGAGGCGGAGGAGGAGAGGTGGAGGAGGAGGAGGTGGAGGAGTGGAAGGAGGAGGAGGAGTAGGAGGAGGAGGAGGCGGAGGAGGAGGAGGAGGCTGGAGGAGGGGAAGGAGGAGGAGGAGACCTCGATGCAAAAGGCTTGCGCCGTTCCGCCGACCCCCCCCCCCCCGACGAGGAGGACCTGCGCGGCTCCTGCTCTCGCCCGCGTCGTTGCGGTGCCCGCCTCCCGTCGTGCTGCTCTCGCCCGCGGCCGCTGCTGCTTCGGCCTCCTCCTCCTCCTCCTCCTCCTCCCCTTCCTCCTCCTCCCTCCTCCCCCTCCTCCCTTCTCCTCCTCCTCCCTCCTCCTCCTCCTCCTCCTCCTCCTCCCTCCTCCTCCCTCCTCCTCCTTCCTCCTCCTCCTCCTCCTCCTGGGGGGCCTCCCGATGCCTTGCGGGGGGACCTCGCCTGCCCCCAATAGTGGTGCCTCTTCTTGTGCCCGACGCGGACTCGATGCGACCTCGACGCGGATTTTTACCAGCCTCGAACGTGTCCCTATCCCTAAGACTGACACGCCAAAAGGCGATGACAATCTCAGGGATTCGCCCTCAAAAAATGAGGGGACCCCTAAGATTGGCATCGTGATGAGGAGGTGCCCAGCATAGGGATAGGGATAGGGATATGTTCCAGGCTGGTAACCGTCGTGATGCTTGCGCGCGGCTGCTGCTGGTTCGGCCTCCTCCTCCTCGGGGGCCTCTCGAGGCCTCAACGTTGCCTTCGCGGGGGCCCTCGCCTGCCCCCAGTAGTGGTGCCAGTTCGTTTGCCCCACGCGGGCTCGATGCGGCCTCGACGCGGATTTGGCGTGGATCCGACGCGATTTCCACACGGGTTCGACACGGACTCGACGAGCCCGACATGGATTCGGCATGGATTCAACGCGGATGGGGCCGCGACGGGACGGACACGGTCCCCCTAAGACGGAACAGAAGACACCTCAGGGGGCGGCTTCTTGCATCCTTTCCACTGCTCCTGGGAGTTTCTGGGGGCCCCCTTGGGGCGTCTCGGGAGCCTTGGGGGCCATGTTGTGGGGGAGGTTCTTGGGGTCCCCGTGAGTTTCCTCCCCCTCTTGGGCCTATTCTTGGGGCCTTTTCGAGGGCCTCCTTGGCCGTCTGAGGAGGCCCTCTTGAGCCTCCTCCCAGTCCTCTTGGGGCCTCTTGGGCCGTCTTGGGCTTACTTCGGTGGCCTCTCGGGCCGATTGCGATTTTCAGAAGACCGAGAAACGAGATCGCGGAACAATCAAGAAACAAGTTGAATCAATTGTTCTTGCATTTCCAGGCCCCTTGGGAGGTTCTTTTGGGGCCGTCTTTGGCCGTCTTGAGACCATCTCGGATGTCCTTGAGGCTTCTCTTGCGTGCTGGAGCCCTTCTGGAGCCAAATTCGAACGCATTTGGAATATGTTGGCGGCCACAGACGGTAGATTTGGAGTTTCCAAGGGCCCCGGAGGTTTGTTCAGGAGTTTGTCTTCCCACCCGCCCATGCCACCCTCCTTCTAGCAGGATCTTTGACCCCGTGGGGGGGGGGGGGGGGAATTGAACAACAATCCCACACGCCGTGTCAACCCCTGCAAGAGGGGCTCAGCGGATTGGCTCACTCAGCGAGCGCTCCGTCGGACTACGATTGGTCCCGATCGTTGCAAATCAATATGAAGTCTGTTTTTTCAGCTCAAACAGAAATGAACGCATGCCGCGGATAACGAAGCATCCCCCCCTTAAGACCTAAGGGCTGATCATCTCCGGCCAATGCAGTGTTAGTCGGCGGTGGGGCGCGGCGGGGCCGAGCTTCATTGTCACCGGGGACAGTACGAAACTCCGGCTGCGACTATTACCTTCCCTCCCCCCACGGGCGATTTTCTTATCCCCTGGGTTTTGCGATCGTAGGAAAATGCTCAAGGTGAGCCCCCCAGGGACTTGAACACCGTTTTGAATTGACTGGTTGTACAACAGGAATTCGACATGTTTGCCACCTCATTCCTTTCGAAGTCTCCTCCCCCTCCACTTATCTGCCTCCTCCCTCCTCCTTCCTCCCTCCCCTACCACGACTACTACGACTACTACTATTACTTCTACGACTACTAGTACTACCACGACTATTTCTCTACTACTACTACTACTACTACTACTACTACTACTACTACTACTACTACTACTACTACTACTACTACTACTACTACTACTACTACACTACTACTACTACTACTACTACTACTACTACTACTACTACTACTACTACTACGACTACTACTACTACTACTACTACTACTACTACTACTACTACTACTACTACGACTACTACTACTACTACTACTACTACTACTTGTGCTGCTGCTGCTGCTACTACTACGACTACTACTACGACGACTACTACTACTACTACTACTACCACTACTACTACTACTTCTTCTTCTACTACTACTACTACTACTACTACTACGACTACTACTATTACCACCACCACCACCACCACTACTACCACTACTACTACTACTACTACTACTACTACTACTACTACTACTACTACTACTACTACTACTGCCACTTACGACTATCCGCTTCTCCCACCTCTTCCCCTTCACCCCCTCTTCATCAGCAATGCCATCATCATCAACAAAAACATTCTCATCCTCCTCCTCTTCCTCAACGTTCTATCTGTTGCGCCTGCCGGGACAAAGTTTTAACATCCTCCCTGGACCCCAAGCATTGTTATCCCCACCCAGTGAATCTCAGAGGCGTAGGGTTAGCACGCCTTCGTCATTGTGGGTGTGTATTGCTACAGAGTGCAGGTGCCAGTGCGCATGTGCGCTTGGGTCTCTCACAGGCCAGGCCGTCTTTGTCTGCAGTTGTAAATATTCCTGCTGATGGGTTCTGCGTCCAGGAGCGCAGGGGAGCTACTGCTTCGCGCAGAAGTTCAAGCAGTACCTCGGGAGCCGGGCTGAGAGGTCCGCGGGCACGAACCAGCGGGTGGAGAGGCAGAACGGAGCAGCGAGGGCGGAGCGAGGGACAGGGAAACGAGGGGCCGAGGATGGAGGATGGTCCCTCCCATCTCCTGCTCTCCCCCCTCTCGTCCCCTCGCCCCTCTCCCCATTCTCCCCCCCTGCCACCCGCCCACCCTGCCAGCAGGCCGCACCTCCGGGGGGGGGGGGCTGCGGGCTGCGAGCCGGTCGCCGCGACCGTAGGGTCCGGGGAGGTCCGGCGGAGTGGCGTCGCACACAAATCAGTCGGAGGCCTTGCCGTCTTTGGGGGGGCTGTGGCAAAGGGGCCCAGGGACACAAAGAGATTGACACAGTTCCCAGGATCCCCCATGGTCTGGAATCTTTTCTGGGTTTTTCGCCCCCCCCCCCCCCCCCCCCCTTCCCCCCACTTCCCATCTTTTCCCATGCTTCCCTCTTGGGAATTCGGCGATTCGTGGTGTCTGTGTGCTTTCCCCCTCCCAAGTGTGGCTTATGTCCCCCCCCTGCTGGCAGGGAGTGCCACGCTCGCTCACTTCTGAAGAGCTGCTCTTCGAGAAGGGAGCGGTGGTCTACCCAGATCTCCTCCCCCATCCCATCCGAGGCCCTGGGTACAGGACGCCGTCCGAGTGGAACAAAAACCTTCCCCTCTCTTCCCCTCCGTTCTTGCCCCTGCCTCCCTGCCATGTTTCTTCTTGTCCCATCCCCCCTCCTCTCGTTTCCCGCGGTTCCGTCGACCCGCGCCCTTGCTCCTCGGCCTTGGTACTGACCCAGGGGTGGGCCCCACTCAGGCGCCGCTGCGGACCTCCAGCGACGAACGAAACGGGTGGAAACATAATTGTGGACGTTTTTACAGGCCTCCTAGATGGGGTCTGAGTAGACAGGGTCCGACCCCATTTACTCGGACCCCGTCCAGGAGGCCGTACTTGTTGTTGTGGCCCTTGCGTGTTTTTTATGCTGTACTGGCCGATCGGCCATTCTAGCCACGAAGGGGCCACGATTTTTGCTGTGGCCAGTTTCGGCCCTGATGAGACGAGTGCGTCTCCCCCCCCCGTGGGTCGAGGAATCTCGGGCCTGCCCGGCCCAGCTCGGGGACTGACCCCCGCAGGACCTGCCGGCCGCAGGTGTGGTCTAATAGGCTGGTTGCCCGCCAATCTTAGGGATTCCCTCAGTTTTTGAAGGGGCGCACCCCTGAGATTACCATCGCCCTTCGGCGTGCCAATCCTAAGATCGTCATCGCCTTTCGGTGTGTCACTCTTAGGAACTGCTTGTTGGGCATTGTACCCATTCTTTCCGTGCCCATCTCGGGCGTCCAGACGCCGTCGGGTGGCCTGTCCCGCCGCCTGTCCGCCGCAAGGCCTGCTGGTCTCTCCCCCGATCTCTCCGCGTGCCGGGGCCTGCCGGGGCCTGCCCCCGACTGCGCCCGCGCGGCGCCGCGAGGACGTCCCCCGGCCACGCGGCGGATCGGCGGAGGGGGGCGTCGACCCGAGCGGGAGGGGAAGCGCTCCGATCTCACTTGCCTCGAACTTGTCCCCATCCCTCGGATTGGCACGCCGAAGGGCGATGGCAATCTCAGGGGTGCGCCCCTTCAAAAACGCAGGGAATCCCTGAGATTGGCAACTCTGGACGCCCGAAATGGGCACGAAAAGAGTGGGTACAATGCCCAACAGCAGTTCCTGTTCATTTTGAACAGGACTCGCTGTCCGCGCCGCCGCGGCCTGTGTCCATTTGAGGCACAAGGCCGCCCGCCCAACAGCGGCCACTGTTGGTTGGAACAACATTTGTTGTTGGGCATTGTACCCAGTTTTTTCCGTACCCATTTCGGGCGTCCAAAAGGGGGGCGTCGACCCGAGCGGAAGGGGAAGCGTTCCGCTTTCACCGGCCTCGAACTTGTCCCCATCCCTAAGATTGACACGCCGAGAGGCGACGACAGTCTCAGGGATGCGCCCTCAAAAGCTGATGGTTAATCCCTGATATTGGCACCGTGATGGGGCGATGCCCAGCATAGGTATAGGTCAGCAGGGGAAGAAACACACAGACACGATTAATCGTCGACTCCCGGGAAAATATGGGAAAACAAGGGAAGTGGGGGGGAAGACAAAAAACAAGAAAATATGGGAAAATAATGGGGATCCTGTTATTTGTGTATTTTTTTTGGTGTGCCCGGGGCCCCTTCAACAGGGATGTGTTCCAGGCTGGTAACGATCTGCCCATCCTGGCTGTGATCCTCCCGTGCGGCCCGCCTGGTGGTGCAGCAGGACTTCTCGGGGGCCCCGGCAGGACCGGGGCCGGGGGTCATTGCCAGCAGGGGCGGGAGCAGGATTCGAGGGTACGATCGACCTCCTATACATACCCTGGCACATCGATGAGCGAATTCGTCGTGTTTGGTTCGCGAGAGGGCGTCGCGGTCGTCGTTTTTTGCGGGTCCAGGTCCGTCGGTTGCGGTGCTAGGCCGCATTCACGAAAGGGCGGTGTATTAAAGGGAGTTTTGTCCACCGCCGATTTGATGGGAGGGGAAGGGTCGGAGGGCTTGGTCAGCGAATCCAATCCAAATCCCCACAAACCCTGCGCAGCACTGGCAGCGCAGGGGGGCGGCGGACCGTCTCCCCATCCCACAAAGCATGGATCGGAGGGGCGAAGGCCGAACCCGTGGCTGCTAAAGCGGGGCTCCAGAAATGGAGTTCTCTTTCCCGGGAAGCAGCTGAGCTTCTCCTCTCCTCCTCCTCCTCCTCCTCCTCCTCCTCCTCCTCCTCCTCAGGTGACCCGAGCACGTGGGTATTCCATGGCTGGACGCCTCCAGCTGAGGGCATCCCAGCATGGGACAAAGACGACCCGAGCACGTGGGTATTCTACGGATGGAAAGAGCAGCGCCCATGGGTGAACCACCAGAAGGGGCAGGGGAGTGAGAGCGAGAGTAAGGTGAATGCAGAGGAGATCGCTATCGCTTCGGACGGTGAGGGGGAGATCTGAACATGAGGTCGAGAGGTCGAGGCAGGTACTACCCGCTCACAAAGCATGTCAGTGAAGTGATTTTTCCATCGTCAGAAGCTGTTGCTGCGCAGACGAGAGTACCCCACGCAGGACCAGCGGACCTGAGAGAAAAAAAGAAAAATGACGGTTCAGATGTTTCAGATGTAAGGAGGGCTCTACTATACTCGAGGGGGGGGACCCGTAGCGCCCAACTGGGTGGGCACGATCCCTTAAAGGCGACGGAGCGTGCCCCCCCTCGAGTCTCTTGCACGGTCGTCTGTGACTCCAGCTACGTGTCCCACCGACGGTTGGTCACAACAGGGGACAGACAGGCAGCACCCACGACCACCCATCCCAGCCCCAGACCTGAGTAGGAGGAGGCAGATTTTTTTATTTGGGTTAGAAGGCCCTGTCTGAGAGGAGTGGAGGGGGTGAGGAGCGTGGAGGGGGGGGGGGGGGCAGAGCCCCGAGCGAGTGGAGCGCGGCGCGGCCCCCCGCCGCCCTGCCGCCACGTCGACGCGGGCGACCCGCAGGCGCGCCCCCCCCATCGCCTCTTTCCCTCTGTGTGTGTGTGTGTGCGTGTGCGTTGCAGGTGGCGCGTGCGTGCGCGTGGCCCCCCCCCCCCCCTCGTCTCGCTGAGTGTGTCGCCCCTTGCCCTGGGGCTCAGGGCACGGCTCTCGTGATGAGCCCTGCCCTAGCCCCCCAGCTGTCGAGCGAAGGGAGGCACCCAGCTCCCTGCGCGAGGCCCACCCCCACGAGTAAGCTCCTGGGGAGTGCGCCTCAGGCAGGCCTAGGCGACCAAGAAATTGGTCCCAGGCCCATGCATCCATATTTATCGCAGGGATACTACTAGAGCTCGCTGCTGCTGCCGCCGCGGCCGTTCTGACTCATCCCCGAAGCGCCTTTGCCTTTGCCTTTTTTGCCTCCTCCTCCTCCTCCTCCTCCTCCCCCTCCTCCTCCTCCTCCTCCCCCTCCGCCTCCTCCTCCTCCCCCTCCTTCTCCTCCTCCTCCTCCTCGATCCCGCCTTCCGGGAATATGTTTTCTTGTTGCGGGAAGGCCGTTTCAGCAGCCGCGGATTTGGCAGTTCTCGCCCTGCGCCCGAATGGGGGGGGTGGGAAGCCCCCGGAGACGGGGAGCGGTGGGCAGATCTGGGCGTCGCGAGCTGGGCCGCGACCGACCAGACACATTGTGGTTTGTACCAGGGCTGGGCCCAAACGGTGTTTTGGGCGATTTCGTGGGCCGTTTTCGTTTCGACTTCGCTTTGCGGTAAAAGCGGGGTCGAGACAAAAGCGCCGGGAAACGAAAAGACAACGAGAGCGAAAAGCACCGTTTAGGTTCGGCCCCGGTGTCCTACGTCTGCGCGCAAGGCCCACCCGCCGGCGGATCCCGCCCGTGCCCCACGCCATGGGCGTCAATCTCGTGCGAGGCAGCAGGCTCTCCCAGGCCAGCCACAGCTTGGGGAGCTGCGGTCCTCACCCCCCCCAGGGGGCCCGTCGTCATCGACACCCCTCCCGAGAGATCGTCGATGCGATGGGTTCCCCCAGGGGGGGTACAGTAGGGGTCTTGAAAAGGAACCCTTTTCGTTGGGGAAGGGCTCCGTGTTCCTTGATTGTTTCACAGCTTGCCTCAGGTTTCCCCAAGGTTTTCGATGGGGAATCGAAGTTTGACTTATGGGAAAGGAGGGGCCTCGTTCCTTATTTAGGGTTAATTAGGTCAACGCCCCGACTGTAAAGGACCAACAGCTCCCCCTGTTATGCCTGGCCGGCTCTCCCTCACACGCCTGCTGGTTTTCATGGTGGGCTCCACCGAAAGGCCCTGGCGGCTGCGTCTGCGCGCGGCGCCCCGGCCCAGGTCCGCAGGCCCGTCGCACTCTTCGCGGCACCGCAGGGAGCGCCACGGCGCGTCCGTCGCCGTCTTTTCCTCGTGCGGACGCAGTCCCGCGTGTGAATTCTTCCTTCGGCGAGGACCATCGAGGAGCATCCTCGATCATGTGGCGAAAAAACCACGCACGAAACCGACAAAAAAACACAGGAAGTGGACGTCCGAGCGATGGCGAGGAGAACGTTGAGTGTGGTGTGTCGTTTGTTGGGGCCAAGCGTTTAGGAGCATCGCCGGCACCGCAGGCCCCTCGCAGTATTCTTTTTGATTCCGCTGTCCTGTTCCTAGCGGCATCGTTTCGAGAATGGGATGGGCTCTTCGCTAGGCTAGCTGTTCCTCCAGAAGAGCGGGGGAATTGACGGCACGCGTGAGAAGGGTGGGGTTAGGGAGGGGGGGCGAGGGGGACCTTCTCAGAAGGCGGCGGGGGGGGTCTGAAAGAGGCGTCGCAGCGAGGGGATGATTGGGGGCGCGCCCGCCGCAGGTTCCCCTCCCGGTCCTTCGGGACCGACGTCTACCAGTTCTGGCGGAGCAACCTGCTGAGCCAGGACCAGGTGTGGATGATAGACGACACCGTGAGGGCCCTCAAGGTCTGCGGCTCACCTCCGGCCGCGGGGAGCGGCGGCGGGCAGCAGAGGGGGGGGGGGCTCGAGGACGCGCGGCTCGAGGGCGCGAGTCGGTTCCCATGGGCTGGCTGTGCGCGCGCGTCGAGTGATTGCGTGTGTGTTGCTTCGTGCCCGTCACAGGGAGGGAGGGAGAGGGAGAGAGAGAGAGGCGACACGAAAAGAAGGACACATCAGATCCTGGCGAGGGGCCCAACCATGTGCCAGTGCGGGTGCCGCACGACGGGTCGAAGCCGCGGGAGGGGGCCAGCAAAATGACCCGGCCGTGCGTAGAGGGGGCGGGGCAACGTTGCTGATGGGGTTGCAGATGTCAGCCGTAGCGGGTTACATCTGGATGTAACCCGTTCTGGAGGATTTGCGCGTCTGTCGGCGCAGCCTTGGGGGGGGCAGCAGGCGGCGGGGTCTTTGAGGGAAGTTTTTTTTTGGGGGGGGCCACGAAACGTGTGAGGAGCTTATGCGAATCCTGCCTCATTCAAATTCTGCAAATCTTATGCACATTCGGTGGGGGCTCTTATGCGAATCCTTCGGTGGAGGGTCTCATGTGAATCCTGTTTCATGGGGCCTTAGGTGGAGCTCCGTAAAAAGGCTACGGGACATGTGAGTGATGCGCCGAAGTAGGGTGGACTAGGTATGCGGGCCCTGGCACTGGGGCCTCAGGTGTTATGGGGCCACGAAGCTTGTAAGAGGTGCGCCGAAATAGAGTGGACCAGACGCGCGAATGCAGCCACTCGGGCCTTCGGTGGAACTACCTCTGGGGCCACGGAGCGCGTAAAGGGTGTGCCGAAATAGTGTGGTCCAAGGATGCGCGCCCTTTCGCTGGGGCCTCAGGTGGAGCTCCCTATGAGGCCACGAAACGTGTGAGGCGTGCGCTGGAATCGATATTCGCAGGGCAGAAGCAAGGATGGGGAGGAGGGAGGAGGAAGGAAGGAACGAAGGAAGGAACGACGCGGGGACTGTCTTGTCAACACGAGGGCCCGACACAACAGGATGTTGGGAAAGCATCTCGTGGTGATGGGGCCCAGCCATGTACACGCGTGTGTACCGCAAGGCAGGTGGGCACCAAGGGGAGAGGTTAACAAAATGATCAACGCGTGCGTGGGAAGGGCGGAGCGACGTTGCTGACGGGGTCGCAGAGATCAGCCGTAATCAGTTACATCTGGCTGCAACCCGTTACGGAGGACCTTGAGATTTGGGCCTTCAGTGGAGCAATTTGTGGGGCCACGAAGCTCGCGAGGAGTGCGCCAAGAGAGCGCGGAGAAAGCATGCAAACGTAGCCGCTCGGACCCCAGGCGGAGTTCCCAATGGGGCCACGAAGCGTGCGATGGGTGCGCCGACATGGTGCGGACCAGGCATGCAGGCCTTTGCACTGGGGCCTCAGGAGGAGCTCTGTATGGGAGCCCCAGAACTATGAGGCCACGACGCGTGCGAGTGGTGCGCCGAAGTGGTATGGATTGGGCATGCGGGCCCTGGGACTGGAGCCTCAGGTGGAGCTCCATGTGGCGCCCCGCATCCTGTGAGAGGTGCGCCGGCATGGATTTTCTGGGCCGCCCTGCGGACCCCGCCTGTCGTCTGGGCCGCCGGCGGAGCTCCCCACAGGGGCGACGGAGAGCGCCGAGAGAAGCGCAGGGCCGCCGTGCGGACCTTGCCTTTGGGGCCTGCGGCGAGGGGGGAGGAGGAGGAGGAGGAGGAGGAGGAGGAGGAGGAGGAGGAGGAGGAGGAGGAGGAGGAGGAGGAGGAGGAGGAGGAGGGCTCGCCGTGTGGACCCGAACCCCTGTGGGGCCGCGAGGCGCGCGAGGGGTGCGCCGACGCGTCTGCGGGGCCACCGTGCGCACCCCCGGCACGGGGGGGGCCCCTCGGAGGAGCGCTCCGTGGGGCCGCGAGGCGCGTGGGGCGCGCGCGCGCCGCCAGGCGTGCGACGAGCCGCCGGGCGGGCCCCGCCGCTGGGGCCTTCGGAGGGACGTGTGCCTGGGGGGTTCTATGCGAAGCGTGCGGCGGGGTCGAGGCGTGTGGCGAGCTGTGTGCCCGCGGCCGCCACGGCGGAGCCTCCCGCGGGGACCGTCGGTGCAGTTCCGTCTGCCTGGCATCGCTCGGACCTGGGCAGTTTTTCTCGGCGAGAACTTTTGAGGACGATCCTGGACCAGCGAGCAAGAAAAAACACGCGCGAAGCCGAAACATGCACGGGAAATGGACGTCCGAGCGATGGCGAGCTTGGGGGCCACGGATCCATGCGGACCTTGTCGTTGGGGGCTTCGGCGGAGGTCCCCAGGCGGCCACGAGGCGTGCGAGGGGTGCGCCGACCTGTGTGCGGGGCCACCGTGCGCACCCCGGCACGGGGGCCTCGGGTGGAGCCCCCCCCCATGGGGCCACGCAGCATTGTGAGGGGTGTGCCGAAAGGGGCGCGTGGCCGCCGTGCCGTGCCTGCCGCTGAGGCCTTCGGTGGAGTCCCTGTTCAGGAGGGCAAAAAACACACAGACACAATTAATCGTCGATTCCCCAGAAAATAGGGGAGAATATGGGGAAATATGGGAGGTGGGGGGAAGAAAAATACCCAGAACATATGGGAAAATATGGGGACTCCTTTGATTTGTGTGTCTTTATTTCTGTGTCCCAGGGCCCCTTCACCTGTGGGGGCCACGGAGCGTGCGATGGGCGTTCCCAAACGGATGTGCAGTGGGCGGAGACAGGGATGGGAGGAGGGGGGGGAGGAGGAGGGAGGGCGCGTGGCACTGTCTGTGCAACACGAGGATCCAACACCACAGGATGCTTGGGAGGAAAAAATCAGGAGAGGGAAGAAGGGAGAGAGGGAGAGGGAGCGGAAGATGGAGTGGGAGAGGAATGGAGGGAGGGACAGAGGGGAGGGATGCAGGCCTGTCGAGTGCGACCCGAGGTGACCTACGAGGTCGACGTGTCTCAAGAGGCGGGGGCCAGGGCGCTCTGGGAGTACAAGGACTTGCCTTCCGCCCGCCCCTATCCGCTGCCCCCCCCCCTCTCACCATCCCCATCCACGTGGTCTCCCCTTCTCTGGCCGCGCGAGCCTCGCGTTCCCGCCTTTCGGGAGCATCCCGTTCTCGGTTGCCCAGGGGGGGTACCCCGATGATGAGGCAGATGAGGGGGGTGAGGGACTTGGCATCGCTCGGACGTGTGCATTTGTTCTCGGCGAGGACCATTGAGGACGATCCTGGACCATCGAGCAAAAAAAGCACGCACGAAACCGACAATATGCACGGGAAATGGACGTCCGAGCGATGGCGAGGGGAGGGATGCGGAGGTTCCAGCCGCGCAGCAATGCCGGAGTGGTGTCTCGCGGCTGTACGGTTGCATGTTTGTGGCATGGAAGCGTGGAGGCATGACGCCGCTCTGTGCAGCACCATTCTGTACATTATACCAGGTCGTATGGCTTTCCTCCTGGGGTCTCTCTGCCGCTCCGAACGGAGGGCTCAGAGGCCTCTGAGGGTATGTCAGGGGCGCGCTGTGTACTTGGGTCTTGAGTTGCCGTTGGGTTGCTCGAGCTGTCGGTGGCGATCTTTGGGAGTTCGTCCGAAGGCGTCTTTGCGGCAATATGGAGGGGGCTGTGGGACCGTCCTTGGCCCACCTTGGGGTCCTCCAGAAACCGTCTTGGGTCGGTCTTGGCGGGGCCCCTGCTGGAAGGCTTCTGGACCGCTACACATCGATCGTGTCGACCCGAAGGCTGTCAGTCATCCACGTCCTGGCTGTATTGTGTCCGTCAGGGCGGTAAGACGACACACACGCTCTTGACATCACTAGTATTGCATGGCAGTGGTATCCCCAGGTTCTGCTGGTTGGCTTCTTCGCAGTCTTCTGTAGGCATCGGGTATTTGTTTGGAGTTGTCGGAGCGTCTTGGGGAGATTCGGAGCCATTTGTCGGCGGCGAGCGAGGGGAGAATGAGAAGGAGAAGGCCCTCTCAGAAAGCGGCGGGATTTCTCAGAAGGCCTCGTGCCTTCTGAGAAGTGTTCCGTGTCTTCGGGAAAGGCTTCGCAAATTTATCAAAAGGAAGACCGGGGAAATCCCGAGCCTTCTGAGAAGGTCCGCCCCTTCTCATTTCCCCCCCCCGCTCGCCGCCGAAAGGGGGGAGATGCTTGAGGCTGTCTTGGAGGTTTGTCTCGTGCTCCTCAGTGTTTCCTCTTTCCTTAGTGCTTCCTTTTTCCCTCCTCCGGCTCGTGATCCTCGCCCTCACAAAACACGAGCAAGCGCAATACCGCGCCTGTCTTGCACTGCTCCTCTTCGCTCCTCTGAGTGCACCCGAGTCGGAGTTCCCGACGCCTCCCCTGACGCCCGCGGACACTGCTCTTCCCCACTCCGTACTCGGTGCGGATCAGGAGGAGGATCAGGAAGAGGATCAGGAGGAGGAGGAGGAGGAGGAGGAGGAGGAGGAGGAGGAGGATAGGGGAGGAGGAGGAGGGGGGGGGAGGAGGAGGGGGGAGGAGGAGGAGGAGGAGGAGGAGGAGGAGGAAGCAGGTCCTCCCCTCTTCCTCGGCGGCCGCCAGCACGAGTCTTCCTGGCGCTGTCGCCCGGCTTCGGGCCCCCATGGGGCCCGAAGCCAGGCGACAGCGCCAGGCGTGGACATGTTGGAAGCGACGCCCGGAGCTCAGCCTTCTGCTCCCTTTCCTCCTTCCTCTCTCGCCTCCTCCTCCTCCTCCTCCTCCTCCTCCTCCTCCTCCTCCTCCTCCTCCTCCTCCTCCGCCTCCTCCGCCTGCTCCTTTAAAATGCTCCCCAGCGAGGCCCCGCGCAGCCGTTTTGCCCCGCGGCGGGCGCGGCCGGGCCCGCGATCACGGGACGCCCTCCAGCGCCGAGGGAAGGCGCGAAGGCAGGTATCGCCGATGGCCGAAGGCGATAGCTCGTGTGCACCCCGGTTTGGGAGAGTCGCTCACGCAGCAGCCGACGGCGCGCGTGGCGGCGCC